TTTCCGTTAAATCGTGAGTCCATTCAAACAAGAGGTGCTTGTTACAAGTTGGAGACCTTCAGTATAACACAATACCTCAATTATCTGAACTTGGTTGCTCCAACACTCAGATTTTGGGAGTCTATACGCGTTACGCTTACCGTTTCCATGTGCATACCGGACATTTTTAGTTGCGCTGTTTTCATCCTGGGCCAGGAAATGTCAAATTTTTTAAACACAGATGTAGCAGCAGCACCAGCGTAGACAATACCTGACCGGGTAAATATTCAAAGCACCTCCCCGTAACAAGGCTCTTGATGAAGGATTTGAGAGTATGAAACAACTAAGTCACTTAAATCACATGTGTCGTCTTCAAGTTTATTCAGTAATTTAAATTCTCGCATACATCATTTCACTGCAACCTCCTGTGAATGCTCGTAGTTTTTGTGCTTTACTAGTAACTGACCAGAGATGACAATCCTCACTAGTTCACGATCCTTTTGATCTAACTGAGGAACACCACACACAAAAGTTCCACCTAACATCTCTTGAATTGTGTCCAGTTCTACTGAGCTCCAGTTTTACTGATTGTGTCTCTTTAAGTCAAGTGATAGACATGAGTACTCTTGCCCGTTAATTAATTCGTGTTAATACCGACAACCCGATTTCAGCCTGAGAAAGAGTTCACTGACATGTTGTCCCGGATGTATGATCGAATCCATAGTCTGTTGTAGATATTTTGTTCTTCCAACAAAAACTCCTGAGATTATCACATCAAGCGACGTGCTCCCATACGTAGCACTTGTTTACGAGGTATTAGGTAACAGTAGATATGTTGTAATAGAACTCTTAGCATAACCACTCATATTTGGGACATATCTTTGAAAACTTACAGGCTGCAACGCTGAACATACGGATTTCCTCTCCAGTTTGACCGGTAACGGTTGTAGTTGTACCAATAATGTAAGAAGTGCAGCTACTAAGGCTCGTTCTCTGAAATCACTAATTAAGTTTTGCTTTTCGTGAAGGACATTAGAATATTAGTTGTTTCACCACAGGAAAAGGAACTGGTAATACTCGATGTCGTGTTTGGCCGCCATTAAACTTTTACCGGACTTTCTCCAGCAGTGACTTGAACTTCTGCGCAGCTGTGTCATCTATAGTAGTACGCAAATGCCCGCATAATTCATCATAACCTCCGGACAATATGTTTCTTGTTGTCCACATTCGTAACAGTATTCTTCCTATCAAAATACTTTGATTGTTGTACCTTGGTGTACAACTTTTTTTCACAGGAATAACATGCCATTATCTAACTCATATCGTCTTTTGTCACTTTTGAGGTACCTTCAAAGATCGTCACTCCAAAGGACTATTTTGCTAGTTAGACTTTGAATTTACCTGCAAGAGCCGTAGGAGGACTTAGTTATCAAAATGTACATTACATAATAATTAAGGTATCAGGTTTTATTCACGTTAGAGCAACCCCTGTTTCTGCACACAGGAGAAGTTGTTTTAAACAAGTGATTTTAAGTAATTTAGTGAGCGCAAAATATGGACCGGGATGATGATTCTGTCAGGCTGGGGAGTTCAAAATCTTGTTGCGGCTATCTACCTAGATTTGAAAATCTAGCACAGCACACAATTGGGAGCCTCCAGAAGCTTGTCATTAAGTTGACCATGAAACGTTTTATTTCCGTAACTCATTTCCTCTATGATAAGACCGCAGCCACTGTAAATATCTCAGCATTGAAGGTACTCCTGCTGTTCTAAAGCACCAAATCCAAAAAAATCAAATAATAACCTAATTTGATGAGCGGTTTAGTGAAAAAAATTTAGCATGTCACTTTATTACTTTTTAAAACTAAATTTTCACGCCACTTATTAATGACTTGCCGTCATTTGATATAACAAGGCCACCACTCGTCACAGGAAGCATCATGATCTGGATGGATCTAGAAATTATTTCTGTTTTAGAACAGCAAACCTGGGTTCTTTATTATTTTTGTCTTTCTCTAGCTTCGTTTTTCTCGTTGAAAGCGAGCGAATGTTCTCACACTTATTGAATCTACTTCATTCTAATCTGAATTTTAGCCAGAGGGAATTAAATTACTTGACAAGTACCGAGTAACGTTCAAAACATTCTGCATGTCCTTTACCTGAAATTAATAAGGAACCCATAAAATCACTCTTATTTGAGGGAAGGCCATATTAAATTCGTTTAACATGGTTCTTCGCTGTCTCCTACTTCGTGTCCGAATGAGAGGACGGAGTCTTTAGCAGCCGCATGCATTCAGCTTAGTTGGCCGTCAATGTACCGAATCAGAGTGCATAGGCTTGCATGTCTCGTTTGGATTTCAACGAATATTTACCAAAGTATTCCCCGTTTTTGTCACAGGTGATAAAAAGAAAGCTGCAAACATTGTCTTCCGCAAATGGAGCGTAGGTGCTTCCTCGTTTGTCCACAGTACCCGCAATTTCAGAATCGGTGAAACAAACAAATATTGTGAAAGGGAGGGGAAATTGTTTGTAAGTTCGCCGACCGACCACAAAAATTCTATGTTGTAGATATACGAAATCACTTGTCCGTGGAGTGCTGAACGTTAATAATGTAGCGAATTCACCATATAGACTCGCATCTAGACAGCCGAGCTACTGGTTGAGCGCATTTCGGGTAACTATACAGCTACTCATGAGTAGTGAAAAATAATTTTGAGTAATTAGTAGGACTCACTGTACTGAACCGGAAGATATAAAAATTTCAGCCTGACACTAAACTATCCACCGATTTGTAAATCCTGCATTTTCGTAATACTTTAGACTAGCGGACATCATCAGATACCCTAAATATAAGTGAAAATCATGAAATCAAATCCAGAATCATCTCGTTTCAGGGATGACACATCTCGGGTTGTACTTTTTGAAGCAATCAGCACCTTGGTTATGTCAAGCCGCACTAATGAAACTAGTTGATGGTGTTAATAGACAACCGCTACATGCACCAAGAACCGTGCTCCTACAATGAATGAAGCGAACCAACCCATCAAAACAATGAACTATTCATCGCGCTAGCCTTCATTACGACGAACTCTGAATGGTATGGCGAACAAACCACCATCCTATACTCCCCTTCTCATGATTATTTGACAATACTGAAAATTCGTCCACAATTGGTTGTTGATCAGATGGCTGTTGACCTGTGCGCTGCACCCAGCTGCGCACTGATGATGTCTCCTCGTATGGTGACGAAACGTTTGCAAGCCAATTGCCAAGCTCGGCGAACAGATCAACAGCCATCTGATCAACAACCAATAAACTCACCCGAGCTACCAATATTTCACCACATTACCAATTCGTCCACAACTTCTTGAAAATGAAGTTCAGTGATAGTGCAATTAAAAAGTGAGTGGGCTGGCATTCATAGTCGACGCAGTCGACGATAGCGTTCTTTTCTAATCATACACATACAAGGCAGCAATCCAATGCGGTGGTCAAACGAATTCCTTTGGAGCAACTTCATGACAAGCTGACATCCCAAAGTTTTTTTGCAATCCTGGTTCTGAGTTTTTTCACAAATTTTTAGGGATCAAATTAAAATTATGTTCTCCGCGGTCTTCAGTCACCTGATTGCTCTAAATTGGTGCGGAAATTTTGCTGTAATAGAACAATACAACCTGCGTTCAAGCGACACCATGGGGATGCAAATTAGTTTGTTTTGACGAGCTTGAGGCTGAGTCCATAGATTTTAATTTCCCTAGATTATGATGTAACCTCGATGAAATTGAGTTCGATGTTACTTTACCTTGGATGAACTCCAACAACAACCCTCCCTGTGATAGGGTCATATATTTGGACTCACCCAAATTATGTCAGGTTAAAATTCATTGTGCACGAGAGACAGGTAGCCCAATATGTGCACATTGACAATAGCACCCGAACGCACCACAGAAGGCCTAATTGTTGCTTATTTAATCAGCAATGTAAAATCTGGTTTTAAATTTCGATAGAAAGGCACATGAGTTTTTGGGATATGACGTAAAAATAATCTGTTCTATATCTGCGGGGAAAAACCCGGTACCACTTCTTTCAAAAAAGTGTAAATTTTTGGATGCAATCTTGACAACTAGGAATTTAACACCTTACTGCATTCAAGTACTGGAATAGATCTGTATGTAAACAATGGGTTTGGATTTTTAAGAGTTGCTTCCACAAGCATCTGTCACGTTTTTTTGGAACTAGAAGAATCGCATCGCTGAACGACTTTGTGGGGATTTGACTCAATCACAGTCACAGTCGCCAAACTATCTAGTCCTTTTTGAATCATACTATAATAGAATGTTTTTTGTGGCTAACATGTTGTTCCCTTTCTGTTTAAAGTTCTTCACGCACTTTTTGGTGGAGATCTCTAGAGAGCCGTTTTCTGCAGTGCGGTTGAGATGTTTTGAATATCCCCTTCGAAAATCTCTTCGGAAAAGATTTTCATGCCCTCTCAAAAAGAAGCCAAACCAAAGTTTGCTCATGGTCCTTCTTGCTTTTTTGCTATATTGGTGCAACGAGGACTTACCGCAATCGCTTGTCATGTCAGGTTTTAGCAAGGTTCATTTCTTCCCACTCTCATGATCTGAAGGTGAACTGTGACACATCACGGGCAAGAGAAACGTCCAAATCGTATGGTAAATGGTGCTTCGATCTGTCGCATTTGATGCAGTTAAGAAGCTGGTTTCACTAAACTCAACCGAAAATTGCCTAGGACCTTTAACTACTCTACCATTTAGCGAAACTTCAGCAACTGCCTTGTTACATATTGGCCAATAAACTAAGATGAACTAGCATCACCACAAACGGGGACAAACCATTAAAGTGAGATTCAGTGAGATATGACGTTGGAAAGGACTATGTTCAAAGTTTTAAAAAATTTCTACTCTGTCCTCATTTTAGATTGTATTTAATGTTAAAATTTTTAGTTTTTCGTGTTATTTTGTGGAAGGATTCTATCGGATCTGGTTCTTCAAAAAGCTTCCATGCCTCGCCAAAACAACGTTAATAGCACTTCTGTGCCCGAATCTTCTTATTTTCTCCGCAGACGTACCAACGCAATGAAACCGTTCGTCAGTGACCAGGAGGTTCATATTACACGTGGCTCTATTGTCAGTCATATCAGCACGCTGGTCCTCTTTCTGTGTCTCTGGTTGACTGATGTCAGTTCCAGGCCCAATTACAAATACCTTCTGCAAGCTGAATCGCCCAGCGGTCCGGAGCTCCGGAATTCCTACGATACCTGGGAATCCGCCGCTTCAGTTGCACCATGGGAACCCCCAGTAGCCCCAGCAGATGAAGATGATAATCAGCGTAGTGAAGCACTTTCCTGGAATCATCAAACAAACATAGAGCGCGATTACCATTACACATCTCGCATGTACTATACACTCACTTTATTGAACGATACAAATGCTCTGTGCAATGACGGAACTCAGGCAGGGTAAGATGTGATTGTAATCTTAAACGGGGGATTATGGATAGCAAGTACATCAGCGAAACCACGTAGATAGCAAATTGAGCTGCAAAAGAGCTTTTTTGTGGTTTCATAAAATTCAACCTCCATACAAATCAGTGCCAAACAATCACTTTTAAACACATAGATATGTGTATAATGCTGTCAGGAAAAATTAGCGCGATCTCTTCTGTAAATATCAGTAAACGATAGTAAATTTGAACATGTTTAGGAACATCGGTTAGCACTCCCAAACCACCTCTAACTGTTCGTCGAAAATGCATGCGGTTCGCATTTGCCTTGCCAGTAATACTACTGGTTCACCGTTGCCCACATTGACATCTGATGGCAGTCCAAGAACAAGCTCTTGAAAAAATGAACACATCTAGAAAAAAAGTGATGTTTTAGCTCAGTGAGAAATCTCGAGAACTCACTGTCCCAAGAATGTAAGGGATTTTTCATGTACGTTTGACAATCTCTTAAGATTTAGGCTAAGAGCGTCTGTTCCTAAGTCTGGGACATTCCAGACCACAATGTTTGTATATTTATTTCTCACCCACCTCCACTGTTTTGGTTTGTTCGTAAATAAGGAGCCTTTATTGCCTGCTTTGCAATATCACAGCTCCACGCTGGCTCAGATATCCGTAGATCTAGATATCCTGTGGTTAGCTTGTCCTTCTAGTCCCTTAGTTATAATGTGCTTCCAGGGACTACACGTCTCAAGGTGGGTAGCTCTTTAGCAATCAACAAAGCTTACTCAAATTGCTGGGAACCTAGAGTTAAATTTCACCATGCTGAACATTAGTCTTGATCTAAATATTTCCAATGGCGAATTGTGTCCTACTAAATGCATGGATAAAATAATACCAAGGTCGTTCCTTGCAAAAGGAATTCCACTTTATATTCCACTTTATATTTTTAGCATTCCTTCATTTTTACCCAAAAACATAGGGATACTTTGGGCATTGACAACACGAAACCATGTGATTGCTTATTTATTTATAAAAATGAACTACTTCGTTTTAATTTGCCAGGTTTATTTAGTTAAAAGTCTGCATGCAAAACCTTTATGCTGCTAAATAAAGTACTAGTGGGCCACTCAGATTTTATTTGTGTACAAAGAATGAACCACGACATGCTTGATTGTGAGCAACGAACACTTACTTCCGTAAGAGTTCGGAAGTGTCACGCTAGTTCCTTGTTCCCAGAATAACTCATTTCGTGCCCATTCTCCGAAGTTAGGGTTTATATTAACCCCCTTATTGTCAAGTGACTTCTCTGTTATTAATAATGGCATATTCAGATTTTCATTTCAACTTGAACGGATTAACTCTTCGGCTTCGTGTGTGAAATTCAATTTTAGTTATTACTATCGACGGTCAAAAGGGGGAAATTCACAAAATTGGCTTATATTCCTTGAGGGTAAGTGAACGCCAATGCCATTTCAATAATCATTCTCATACTTCAGGTGGATGGTATTGTTTTGACAACACCACCTGCCAGCTACGTGAATCAAGTACCTTCTCCCTGTTTTCTTCAAGTTCTTGGCCGCAGCAACGACCCTGTAAGTTCTTTATAGTATATCAGATATCATCCAGATCTTAATTATCTTCGGTAGTTAAAATCCACGACGTTAAATTTAAATGCGCCGTCGTGCGACGTAAATCTAGGTCTTGATCTTGTAGGTCCAACTACACAATGAAGAATAAACATCATCAGTAGGTAGAAAATATTGCTTGACCCCTATGGCATCTTTTTCTGTAAGAGCTGGCTATCAGCCATATAAGGCAAAAATCAGTCTTATTTGAAAATATGTCAGCATTAAGTCCATGTTTCATAGTATCAGTACCTAAAATGCTCACTTTAATCCACCAGGGTACCTATGAGTATCTGAATGAGAAAACTTCATTCTCTGAAAATATTATGTTCCAAGACAAGTATGAGTTGAATGAACTGCCCAAAACACCCAGATTAACGTGCGCCAGAGACTGACGGAACTTTCGCATCAGCAGAAATTACCGAAAATTTGAAAGTGGTTTGGTTGCTCTTTCTTATTGTAATGGCTAATTGGACCTTGCATATCTGGGCATCCTAGTTCAAAACTGACAGAATGCAAAAGTGTGCGTTGTTCTAACAAAAATTCAGTTCACCAGTTCCTAGGTTTTGGCAACTGGCGTGAAATCCTTCAGTCCAATCTTTAGCCGAACAAATGCAAGACGTCGGAGGGAATGGATATCCGTATTGCCTAACATTAAGCCATCAGATTAAGATGGTGTGATTTTTACTATACACCAAATGACAGTATCTGAGTAATAAAATGTTAACGCGAAAGTTACTCTTATTTGACATCTATGACAAGCCTTAACTATTCTCATCTGATAAGCAGTTTTAAGACGCAAAACAGTAGATTGGACCGAAGAGTGTCAAAATAGTGTGCTTATTTATTTAACCAGTGTATTTAGTCATGCAACGATGCAATGCAATGATTTCTTGTTAGACCTCGTAAAATTCTGTTTACCACAGAAATGTTCTTTTTATGTTTTCAGTCGATGGCATACTATCCTCCAACCCGAATGTGAATCCCATCTATCACGAATATAACAGTGTGTAAGTGGCTAGATTTTTACAAGGATAACCACTAAAACTAAGTTTTATCCCTTACTGCTCTAGTGATCTATGGACCGGAAGAAGAGTTAATCAAACTGGCGGTAAGGTTTTACTGATTTTGTGCAGTTATTTCATCGCATTTTGCTTGTAAAATTGTCTTAGTTTTCTAATGACTGCTTATATTTGAACGGGTCTCATGTTGTAACTAGCTTAATAACTTGAAATCTAGGCTCAACCAGTGAGACCTTAACAGAGACATAGTCAACTACTTTTACAGTACAATTGACATGTGACGGCAATAGAACCTCGTGATAGCTTGCCTGTGTGTTTATTAAGTTGAAGTTCAATCCTCAGCATCTGAGACTCATTCGTATCGCAAACAGTCCAAATAACGATAGAACTGCATTTCTTGTATCAGATTACATGTAAACTAGCGCAGATCACAGTCAGTGGCGCAAAGTAATTTCGATGCATGTAGTGGGTTTGCGGCATGTATATTTCTCACATTCACGTTGCTCTCGTTTGAACAGTTGTCCTCCTGTCCTGATGCAATTATTCTGGTGAATCTACACCAAAGGGTAGAAGCACTAGACTCGAGTTCCGCTCTTATTAGAACTGATTGGTGGTGCATATCCAATGGACATGCCGGGGTTTGAACTCCGGACACCTGACGTGCGAGGCCAACGTGTTACCACTGTTCCACCAACGTATGTTGGACGCATCTGAATTCTCACATTTGAACGGGCAGGCGTGTATACGCTTGATGCCGAATTCCCAAATTGGTTGTTTGCCCCTAAAAGTCAGCTTCGTTGATAAATGTCAAAAAAAGTAATCTGCATAATACTTTTTAATGAGCAGTCTTTTGGGTAACCGATTAGACCTGAGGCACTTCAGGGCTTTTTTCAGCCCGTAACACGATAAGCTGGAAGAATGCATAGCAAGCATTAATGCTTGCAGCAAATTAAGGAAAGACTTCCTGTCACCTGTGGGCGAACGATTTATCGGCTGCCAGCTACCTGACCGAAACTCGGGATATTGCACACATTCGAACGTGTGATGCTATCAGACAAGATTTGGGTAGTCGCTTACTTTGGTAGGTACAATCACCAATTGACAAAAAGACACAAGATCTGAGCGATTACCTTTAGGGCAAATAAAGCTGTTGGAGATTTCAGGTATCACCAAAAAGCATGTTTTCCGGTCTAAAACTCATTATTGCTTGCGTTTCGAAGCTTTTTGTCGAAGTCAATGACCATATTCTCCAAACCATATTGAAATTGTAGGAAATCTTAATCTGCTTTCAGAATAATGTTTTATGATGTGTAAGCACCCGTAGCATCCGGTCAGCAAATAGCCCTTGTTGCAAAGCCAACGATTTATTTGGTAGTGCTTTCATACAGAGATGATCGCATTGATTCAGAATAGGAAAATGGTTCCCATCTTATGGACAGGGCCGTAACAAGTAGGCAAATCAATTGCCAATCAGTTTCCATTTGGCTCATTAATTTAAGCAGAGTGGGAGGAAATCGTGAGAAGATATTTCGCTCCCATAGGTTTTAGTTCATCATGAATTCCGCCCTCATCTACTGACCCATCTTAGTGATCGCAACTGGTCCATTCCTCTGTTGCGTTAGTTTGATCTTCGCGTTGTTTGTGATGTCTTTTAAAGGAACGCGCATTTTTCTCACATGCTGTGCAGATTAACAAGCAGGACCATGTGCGGCCACTGTTGGTAAACGTGCTGTCAATACGCCGCAGTTTACATTCAAAGCAAAATCGTAGAACACAAGGTTGGGATTAATGTCCAAACGTTTTGTTTGTTTGACGAGTTGGCAAAACAATGAAAGCGGCAGCTTTGAAAATTAAGCAACTGGGTGTACTCTGAAATAATTCTTGGATATAAAGTGGCTTTCGTGTGACTGCAACCCCTCTTGATCGACTAAATATTTATTTTCTGCATTTAAAACAAATTTTGATGGAATAAATTCACGAGTCCATTTTTCCATTGGCTCTCTTGTTGACATTCTCCTTTTAATCACACTTAATTTGTCTTTTTGCCCTTTAGACTTCTTTTTTCATGGTTCCAGGATTTTACAAGCCGTGACAGACAGTTTGCCGTGGGGAAACATGAGGGAGATCCACCGAGTTGTATTTGCTGGTTCCAGGTACGTTTTGACCAGCATATGAGGCAAATCCACTTGAACCATACCGATAGGCTATCTGCTGAGACATGTTTCACTAACTCCTTACCCTAATTATGACAACATTGCAGAAAAACCATATTGGTGAAACGAGTTTCATCAGTTGAAGCAACACAAACTGATCACGTACACACACTTGAAGTAAGGTTTATTTATTGTAATCTAACCAGCATACTCGCCTCTACAAACTAGCACCGAGTGAAGTAAAGTTTTGTGGGCTTGGAAAGAAAATGTTGTAACTCAGAACCCTATAAAGCCTGAATCCACACGACTGACTTCTAGCAATTCTCAACTATCTATAATCCCAAACGTTTCCTGAAAATTAGCAGCGTTTTTATCCAGCTTTCAACTCAAATCATTTCATTCTGTTAGTGCTGGAGGTATTGGTGTTCTCATGAATATTGACCGGTTGCGCCGAAGAATTGTCACTAAGATTGGCCGTCCAATACTTGTGAGTGGAATTGTCGATTCCGCTTGGTTTATTCACATACCTGCTTATCGGCCATCTGCGTGCAGCAATATCTTCGAATGCCCAGCTGAGGAAGGAATTCACCGAGGAATGAGGTGAGTCAGTTTATCCTACAATGCCAACATGACATCGTCTACAAAACAGAACAACTTGGCTGTCGGCACAGGAGTAAAAAAATTCGTGTTCTGGTGCTTTTCACTTATGATGTGGAAAGTATGTGCATTGTTCAAAAAAAGCACAGTGTTATGAGAAGATCTACTACGTGGTTTTCGACCCAATGATTCTTTTGCTCTGGTTTGATGCGTCGCCGATAAAGTTGGTGAAAACTCTTTGAGAGATTCCCATAATCATGAAATCTAGCTAGTTTCATTTGGGACCCCCGTCGTATGAGTAGTGTGTTACATCGGCGTAATGCAGTGCGATATCATAAATATCGTACCAAGTAAAACATTAGGCTACCTTGCGCAGCATAAAAAGGAGATTTAGCTGACGGTACTTTAGTCGCTCTCTACACCTTACTTGGCATGCAAATTTGAGGATTTGACAAAATGTTTTGTTTGTTCTTAACTGACAAAAACTTTTCAATTTCTCACGGCAAAAAAAACAGTTTTTGACTATGCTCTTAGGCGTAGGACACTGCATCTATCGTGATACAGTCAAAAAATGGATTTATTCTCCATTACACAAATCTTTTCTTGTATCACCTGGCTAGGAAGTGTGATAAAACAGAGTTAGTATTCTTCTCACGGTTGCCTCCGCTGTGTTTTAAGCTACACTCTTCGAGATAATTGTACAATACTTAAACTAGTTCTGTGTTTAAGGCGCCAAAAGTTTTTGCTTCATATATGATTATTAAGCTTAATAACCCAAATATTTTACCATACTTTTTGAGTGCAGAGAAGTTGCGGGATGCAGTATAATTTAGAACCATCTCAGAGCTACCCAGTTACGCATCGTGCGTTTTGAGTTTGCAACCCGAAAGTGAAAGCGATAGCCAGTGTTGCCTTAGTTTTCACACACTGACCTGCCCCTATAAGAATCACCCAAGTAGAGATATGTATACAAGTAGTGTAACTCAAACCGTAAGAAATACTGCAGTTGTTCGCCTCCCCTAAAACCTGTTTTGCTCTCTTAAAGATACTGGAAAGCCCACATACCGAAATCTTGCCGGCAAAATCAGCCAAGGGAGGAAAGGTGGAAGTGTTTCCTTGCACCTTTCATGTACCGATATATAAAAAGTGAGTTTCTGGTATCTTTGATCAACCTTAAGTCACTTTAGCCACAGTACATCCGTAGTGTTATTCAACACAATTCACTGAATGTTGAAAATAGTATCCACACTGTTCTTCTGTGAATAACCCCTTTGTCTTGTATTGACAAGACGTTAAATCAAAACAGCATATTTAAAGCGCCCACATCACCAACAGACCAAATAAACAGGCTACCGAGACAAACAGAAAGACAGTTCCTGGAGTATCTGTTCGAGCCATCTGACACACTCACCATTCATTAGAACACGCCTCGTAATTCGTGGTCCTCGGGCCGGACACATGGAGACTTCATAAGCTTTTCACAAACGCCTGATGATTAGCTTTCAGATTCCAACGTGACTGAACACATTTTACGCTTGAGAAACCTAAAATGATGAAATGCCCATAGGTTGTGTGAATAAAGGGGGATACAGTACAAGTAAATTAATATCAGTACTGACTCAAAAAACTACCTACAATTTCAAAGTGCATAACTCACAGTTCAGTGTAGTGTGTGCTACTCACAAACCTCATTGTAGATCCATCAAGTTCAGTTTGATTTTGCTTGTAGGCTTTATTCGCCTGAATAAATCCAGACTGCAACACAGGAAGATCTGCTTCTCCAGGGTATAGTAAATTAGTATTTACTGACAAGCTTGACCGGAAAGAGGTACTCTCTGCATAAATTAAAAATTTCAACATATATCATGGAGTTGTTTAATTACAAATCTGTTTTTCAGGGGAAGCAAATATAACGGAATATTTTTTGCCTTGGTCTCTTTCCTCCTCCACATCAAAAGATTACCAGCAATCAGTTGCGCTTCGACAATCTTATTGCATACTCTTGCTGGTCCATGAAGGGACATTCCGTATTACTGACATAAACTTACAGTAGAGTAAAACTTTGTCGACCTTGGGCTAGCTCTATTGCATTTTCAATGTGTTAAGTCTTTCTTTACTTTTTATAATCGCTCAGTACACTTGAAATAATGTCTTCTCACCTTTTCCGAATAGAAGATTACAGCGTCGAATTCCTTTGTTCTTGTCATCACTAACATGCGCCTGACCGCGAACTGTTTAATCAGTTTTATTTGCGAAAGTCAACATCGAATGTTCCTTTCACTAGATGAATTCTATGTAAGTGACACCACCAAAATAAAAGAGCTACCTGAATAGGGATGGATAAGGCAAATTGGACCCGATAGCTTACCATATTGTGCTGCAGACCAGCTTCGTAAATAAAAAACTTCGGGCAAGCTTTTTTAGTTAACCGTCTGCTCCGCTCGGTCGAAAACTTCTCGTCGTTTTGCAGGTACCAACCCCCACAAACTCCAAAACGATCGGCTTTTTGTTGCGAGCATGACGACTGTGTCTTAAAAGTGTTTTTCTCATAACTTTTGGTTCTGTATATTTGATTTGAGTTGCCTTCATCGCCTTCTCCTCTCTGATACCCAGTAATGCCTGTTTCTATACCACTAGTAGCTCAATTGTCGTAGCGCTTCGACGAACGCGCTACTCCAAAATAGCATGGGCCTGTGAGTTTTGAGTTACACTGTGTAGAGATAGAACCTGCCGTTCATTCCGCTACCTTGGGTGGTTACATACTAGCAGCGCAGTGCTTCGCATTAGATGACCAAATCAAGTGAAGTCAGTCCATGCCAAGAAAAAACAGAGAAACGCTATGCATTTGTCTCTTTGTTAGGATTCATCAGTGATATTCGTTCAATGATTCCGTACTTAGATTCAATCCGGTGACTTCTGTCCAAGTAGCAACCACGAGCACCTGACCAGCCGCGTTATTTACTTGCCACTACTCTGCAGCCATGTTCGTCTTCTCAGATGCAAGCCCCATGCACCTTGTGTGATTTTTTCTTATCTAGACACAGTACTTGTAGCCTGTTTGTAGGATGGGAGAAATTTAAAGCCCTCCGTGTTTACCTGACGCGCTTTGTGAACAACGCGCAAACGGAGTACATAACGGTACTCATTTGGGCTTAAAACGACAGCCGAAAAGAGGCACAATTTTTGTCTGTAAATTAGAGTGATATGTGCGCGCATCTGAGATAAAGAGCGATGTTTCCATGGCAGTATTCTGGATACCAGTTCAGCTCACACGTGCAATGGGTGCTGAGCTGGAGGATGTTAGTGAGGACTTTTACAAGAGAAAAAAGGAGACATACTTCACATGTATTTGAAGAGCTCAGTAAAGCGATCATGTTTGTTTTCATGAGCCGAACTTCACTGCTAATGTGTCTTGCGGCAAAAGCCCATCCTGGTCCTGTTTCTACGGGGGCCATAAGTGAGTGGAGAAATCCATCGAGTTAAAAAGCTGTAACAAACTTGCCGGTGTAGAGGCATCCTACCTAGTCGGAAGGTGATGCATCTGGAGACGCCGATTAACACCTCAGTGCCAAATTCATTTGATAATTTGCACACAAACAAAGATTTCAAACGCAATTATTGCAATTTACGTTGTTTGCCCAATGCATAAAAATCTAAAGACGCGTGCATCACCTGTTCTATGTCTCAAACGCTTTCGGGTCTCAACAGCCCCCTCCCCTCCCCCCGAAAAAGACAACAGCACGGATAATCCGCCTCGCTTGGCGACCTTTTTTAACTAAGGTTCACAATACTCAAAATATGCTCCACTCTCATTCAGTAACGTTAATGTTTAAAACAAATATTCTGCCCTGCCGGTTATTAGTAAAAAGTCATTCAGGTATAGCTGAACAACTAATCACTAGCCCATTCCTGTTCGTTTTTAAATGTTAGTTCAAATACTGGTAACCTAGCAATGATATATATCACTTTTAATAAAACATATTATTTTGGACTGCGTCCAGTGGTGACTAAACAAGTTATCATGACTTTCCCGATTTTGTTTCCCACATCAGCACCGGTTTATATTGTTCAAAGTTTATTCGATGAAGCACAGATGCAAATGTCCAAAGTTCCACTTCTCACGGGCGGCACATATGGAAAGTGGACCTACATACAGAAACTGGGGAAACAGGTTGCCCAGAGTCTACAGAACATCAGGTAAGTGTAGCTGAACACTTTGCCTACTCTAGCTTTCATCTAAATATTGTTGCTTACCTCCGGGCATTCTCACGCTTATTCTCACGTTTAAAAGTTATTGTGTATGAGGAAATGTCGCACCTCATATCATTTCGTTTTGCTAGCGTACGCGCTGTGCCTTTAAGTGAGGAATTTCATCTTGGTTTGTGGTATTTATGCGCAAAACACTTGCACTAAAGAGGTAATGTGATAAATACGAACAAAGTACAAGAGGAAAGAGGGGTGACTCACGCAGTGCTTGCGGTGATATCACGACATGGATCGCTATATCTCAGCATAAAATGATCTAGTGGGAAATTATCGCGAACTTACGCAAAGGTTGATAAAACAACCACCATTTTGCTCAACCTCGTCTAAACTCACTAAGGCAAAGAGGACTTAGCTAATGAGTGATACCGAGGTTACTAAAATCATCTTATTGACCAGGATGAACCTGCTCCAAGCCATAAACTGAAATCTCTGCTTTGGACCCAAAAGTAGGACTGTCAATATTAGAAAATATCACCATTGTAAAGCGGTAAAATTGTGAAGCAAACTATAGTTTTTGCCGGAGTGTTATTCCAACAGGTGAGCGCCTGGTTTAATAGGCTAGAATGTGGATCACCGCCACAATGTTAAGGCGTTGTGGTCAACGAATATTATTACTACAATGCGTTCTATTCTTTGTTCGTGCGCTAGCTATTCCTACACAATTTTAATTATAAAATCAGTCTAAATAATAAGGCAAATGTGACATATGTGTATTTATATCTTCTTTTACATCGAAATTTTCAATCTTTTTCTCGCTGTAATTTTCAGAGGTGTCTTCGCTCCCTCTTGTATCGACCACGAGATTCTCACAAAAAAGTAAGCATCATTCTCCTAGGAATAACTTTTAGGTTAACATTTTTGAACACATATTTGTGCGGGCAATTCATGGTACTTATCACGGCGTCTCTCTTTGTTGAGTTATTACACTCAAGCACATCAAAATGATCAAATATAATGAAAATAACGATGCTTTTCCTCTCATTTAGCACTCGGCCATTATTGATGCCGTTCATTGTTTTTTACTAGTTGTGATCCAATTCTTAGTGTTGAATTTAGCTCTATTTGAATAAGTATGAAGACAGTTGTGGCTCTCTGAGGCTATTTGGTTAAGCAAGTATGATAAAGTTAACTTGGTGTACCTGACGTGAGTCCTCAGTGAAGATGAGACGAATATGGCTGAAAAATGTCTGTTGGATTCCTTCTTACTTAGATCACACAATGCAACATGCAGTGTGTTGTACTGCACAGCTTGTATGAAGATAAGTGTAGTGTCAAGCGGGTAAAGTGCATTACTTGCGAAAATGTGCACCCACTCCAAGTAACCTTTGGTGACAGGGATGTGGATTCTATGGGTCTATGCTGCTCAATTTCTACCCAGTGGATATAATGCACCAGATCTCCTATTCGGTCATTTAACGACGATGTAAATCGCAAAATCCGCCCGTGATATAACATGGCTTTTTATTTGTATTCTTTGTATCTTCTTCATCATAATTATATTGGAGATATCTACCAACCTTGTGCATCTTAACCCCTGAGACAGCTATCTGAGTTGTCGTGCGTGAGATCCATTAATCATTTACCCTGGGATTAATTGCACAACCTGGATAAGCAGTGGCGGATCCCTCGATAACTCCGATTCTGAACTGGTGGGCAGAGCATGCTTCGGTCACATCTTGATTTTTGCCTAATCAAGCTCCTCTGTTTTTAAGTATGTTATAACAATCGCCTTGCTTATAAAATCTTCATATCTCCCAAGTCATTATGATCTTTAAAACATTCGAATTTACAGGAATTCTCCAAAGCATTGTAAGTACACCACCACTCCAGGTTTCTGTTGTTTTCCTACAGTACTAGGTGTTGCTACCACCTGCCCATGCACCTATCTCCACTCAACCCGTTGAACAATAGCGTCCAAGGTATAGAAGGTCTCAACATAAGCACCACTCGTGGGAGACATGCCACCAAATTTGGGATCACTTTGTACTGAACAGTGTTCACTAACAAAATTGGTACTTAGCATCTTGCATGACTGTATGCACAGGACAGCAGACTGGACACCCCACCAGTAAGTTGCTTGGAGTTTCAACGAAAGAAATATGTAACCGTTCGTCGGTTTGTTTCTTGAGCGGGGCGATTTGATTGCAAACGTTTCATCACTAGCCAGAGTGACGTCATTAATGCATTGTTAGGGAGGGTGATGGAGCACTGCACAGTGAGCAACAGCTTAGAAATTAATTACGACTACGACAGAAGAAATTAGCTTGTTTTAAAACATGGTGACGTCATAATTTAGTTTACATTTTCGTGGAATTGTTCATCGGGAGGTTGCATTAGGGCCAGGTGCGTAAACTGTATAACCGTACAAATGCCTCGTGCACCACCAGTTTTCGTGCTAGACTGAATCGTATGTTCACCACACAGTACGTTATTCGGACTACTGAACAGCTGATTATAGTAGCTGACAAATTGTTCATGTGTTACCACGAGTATATAATTTAATCCTATGCAAACGTTGGAAAGATGAAGTCATCGAACTAACACAAATGCACCCTTCAAAGGACAAAAACTGGTTCAATCCGTCAGAGAAGATCCAAACCTTTGATTGACTGAACAGGCGACCTGCTAGATAATCTCAAGATGACGTGGTTAAGTAGAGTATACAGTGAGACACTGATCCATAGAGCTGACTCAGTTTAAAAAGCATCCTCATTTGAAAACTAAAATCTGACCTTTATAATGTGCTGCATAGCAGAAAAGATAGATTCTTCATTTTAGAGAAGGTTCCGCGTAAGACCTGAGGCATACTAGACATATATGAAAGAGCCATGACTTCAGACAACCCAAAAAGATATTTCATTACGGCGAATACTCAGAGCGGGAAACTGTATACGAATCGTGGAATCACTAATCTGCTGCCCGCTTTGAATTTGATAGAGTGGTAAACGTTACTAACACATGCTGTACTTAATAGATGCAGTCAACTTTGCAAGGGAACATTGTCAGCATAGGACCGCATTTTTCTCCGATGTCAGCTATACAGTGTATTCGGCAGAACCCACCTCTCACAGACATTGGACTTTAGCGTAGTGTGGCAAATTGTATTTCTTCGGGACGCATTCGGTGTCCGCGCGACACTTGTCTAATCTCCCACACCAAGTAGGTGAATGATTACAGATCTGACTAACAGAGTCTCATGGGCCTTAATACTGGGGGTTAGAACATGTGCGGCGACTTGTTCAACGTTATAATGCAAGGGAACATTGTCAGCATAGGACCGCATTTTTCTCCGATGTCAGCTATACAGTGTATTCGGCAGAACCCACCTCTCACAGACATTGGACTTTAGCGTAGTGTGGCAAATTGTATTTCTTCGGGACGCATTCGGTGTCCGCGCGACACTTGTCTAATCTCCCACACCAAGTAGGTGAATGATTACAGATCTGACTAACAGAGTCTCATGGGCCTTAATACTGGGGGTTAGAACATGTGCGGCGACTTGTTCCGTAAACGTTATAATGCACCTGCATTTCCCGATAAACACCGCTGCCCTGCTGTTAGGTTTTTGAGACAAAGGCTTTGTTCGATGAGCCGTAATACCCTCTCCTCTAGATCTAGGCACCCTAACAACCATGAATCACACACTCACAAACAATCTCGTGCCACGTCCACCGTCACCTGGCGCCGTCAGCCAGGTTTCTTTCGGGGCGAAACCGGTCGTGGGCTGTCGATGGATTTTCAACAACCTTATGAGTAGTACATTACAAAGATATACATGTATCGCGATATTTCACATATCGTAGCGACTGAAACATGAAGCGGCCTGGTGCAGCACATCCAGTTGCCTGAGAACATGAAAAACGAGAGATTCAGCTGGGTTCCAGGTGAGTCTCTCGAAAGAACCAAATTAGTTTGCAGATGATTGTATATTCGCTGAGATCTACACATATTTGCACACTGCCAGAAGTGTTGCTCGTGGCACAGCGCTACCAGGTCCGCTCAAGCACTAGATATGGGACAAGAATACGGAAGTGTCCCGGCCGATTCCGAATATAATTGGACCTGACGAATTAACAGACATTTGAAAAGGGGTTTTCGTACCGATAATGAAGACTGGTGGACAATGAAGGCTAATGAAACTGAATAGGTCCGGAAAGCCGGGAATGTCCGAAGTTTATTCCACTTGGTCCGTGTGACCGGTCCTTAGAAGCCGCCGCTGAGCGAAATCATCAACAATAAAGTTGATGTAACAATTCGGAGAAAGAAGAACGCCTCGAACGCTGCGCAGGATGATTTAAGCACCAATTACCGTGGCTACCGGCTGCACTTTATTTGGATCCTCCCGCTGAGTTAGAACCCTGGACGGTCAAAATGGGAGCCCCAATGGCTTCGGAGACTTATGACTGTATATCGTCTTCCAAGCGCCACTGAGCTCCACATCCGGATGAACTTCCACCCTCACAGTTCAAAAATGGGAGTGAAGTTCTCATTTAGCGATTTTCTGCTATTATCTGCATTTCTAAGGCACAACTGTCCCAGATGACTGAGATGATTCGATGATAGTGCATATTTTAAAATAGAGGCCCGTAGTGAGTGTGGTAATTACCAGGGGAAAAACTTACTCCTGGTCGTAACGAGGCTGTTGGCATCGACTTTTGGTGCTTCATGAAACACTGGCTCGAGAAATGCTAGCGGGATTCCGACCTGATATGAGATCCACTGACCGATTATTCACACGCTGTCAGGTGCTATAAAAACGCCCTACGTATGAACGGCCCGCAGGTTTAGCATGATTGAAGTTGCAGTGCGCGTTGGACTAAACTGACCGGTCCGTTCTCCTTAAAACACCTGCTCAGCAAGGAATGCTCCAGACGTCTGTGAACACAATAAGTTCTTTGTATTCCCAGCATACCTGGCGTGTGAGAGTAAACAGAGGGCTCTCTTAAAGCTTCCGTACACAAAATGGTGTCCGCCAAATCATCCCAACCTATCCGGTTCTATTTAATTTCGTGATCGACCACATAATTAGATGAACGCTGTTCAAATAGATACTGACCAAAACGTCGTCCATCCGGAATACGCAAGTAAAATCCTCATCGTCTCAAAGAGGCGACTCAACCAAAGTCGTCCTTTCAAATGCGCTTCGCGTCCACAAAGTGTGAGATCATTCTACGAAACATGAAGACGCTGAATCCAGGAGATGCATTCAAATTTGTGGCGCGCTTTACGTAACTTGGTAATTGTATCTGATCCGACTATAGCTTGACAGATGAGGCCAGTGCACGGATCTTCACGCCTCGGGTCGTGTTTGCCAATTTGAGACACCCATGACGTCAAAGCGGTATATCCCTAAGGCTCAATGGACGTGTGTATAAGCTTACAGTGTTGTCTGTTTTGTCGTATTTTTGTGCTACACGGCTGTGAGACATGGTTTATTCGGGCAGTGGAACTGAGACATCAGTTTTTTGAAAACTGTTTTCTCATATGGATTGGTGTCCGCAAATCCCTAAGGAGACACTTATGAGACAGGAACTTCCACTTAGGGATGCGTCCAGCACCAAAAGCTGCGTTGGTTGGACTATGCGTTGCATTGCAGAGTCATCGTTTGCCGAAGAGAATACTGTTAACCCTGTCCTCTGCAGAGTGGCGGGGGCGAAAAGGTGACCAGCCTTTGACCTCCGGAAGGGCATGAAGGAGAGTAATAAGAGGCTGGGTGCTGTCGGTGCGCCTTACCTCCCAGGAGTGTGACCGCATGACCTCCAGTGAGTCTGATTGGAGACGCTGCAAGTTATGGCCACTAAATGATATCAGTGGCGTTCTTGTTGATAGCTTCATCCAGATTACCTGAATGAGTGTCTGGAGGTTCCTCAAATGTCTGTGATAGGCCAGCACCAAGTTCCTCTTCCGTCCATTTTTGTTCTTTTCTCCAAAATATGACTTGCGAATAAAGCACTGCTTTACGACAGTGAATCATCTGTCTTGAACGTTGATTTTATTTTGTGGGCCATAATGATCGTGAACTTACTACACGGTTTTACTCTACATTCTTCTATTAATGATGCAGCTTCAGTCCACTCCATGTTGACGAACGGTCTTATTGGCCGGAGTTTATAAACATTTTTGAAAAATATGCTTTTTTCATACCTACTAACATCGAATCCCTAAATTGGGCTGCATTGGCGTTTCGAAGATGGAAGACTACCAAAAGACATATTGTTTTTCTACTTTTTTTACTTTGTTTTGAAAATAAGATTGTTTCACCTCACTATTTCAGCAACTGGGTGCACAAGGCGATCGGCAACACTGGACTTGTTGACGCACTCCTTGCGTGGGACAGGCATTTGCTCAGGTAGGTTGCTCAACTCATTGATAGGCATTAGCAATACCAGTACCGTTACCGCAAGCACTTATTGATTTGCGCTCCATAGGATAATATTTTCAGCATCACGCGAGCAATTACTGAGTGGCCCACTAAGTAGAAATTACTCTGAACTCTACTTAAATATGTAAACAGTTCTCATGATGATTCTTCACATAGTAATGCACGCATCAATGGTACCCACAATTTACTCACCTCTTTTAATCACGTTTAGCCCGCACAAACTCCACTAGAAGTTTCATAATTCGGTTTATTGGCATGGGAGAACTTAAGCAAAGGCCCTAAACTGTATTTGGGACTCACAGCTGACTGAAGTAAATTGTACTTTGCAAACAGACTGAACAGGTTCACAGGTTGTCGTCGGTGAAAGCAGACCGGAGTACAGGATAAGTCCGCACAAGACCGCTTATCGGTGTAGCAGTTTGAATTGCACTACTCTTTTAGTAACCGCGCCTAACTTAGCTTTATTTAATACGCTTTAGTGGAAAATGACTCCGAACTTCTATGGTTTGCTTTTCAATCGGCAGTATTTGGCCGATATTCAGGGTTTAGATAATGAATAAAACAATTAACAGCAAGATTATCACGCGAAGTGGTCCATCCTTTTGACAAACCTGAAAATTTTTCGGTTACGTTCACAATCAAAGTGCTGGTTCGTGTATACTTTTCTCCAAAATAAGCATGGAGCCAACTCAAAATTGGTATGCACGTGTTTATTGGTCACACAAGACTTTAGTGATTTCAATGTCATTTGGTTGTCATCCCGTCGACTTGATACCAGTATTCAAAACTGATAAGTTGTTACTGTGCAACTATAATTTACTTGAAGTCCTTATTGTGGAGAAAAGAACAAAGCTGGGTGGGAAGAGACTTAGTTCTATTCTACCGCAATCATTTCAGGGTGCTCGCCCATTTGAAGAGATACTCATCTAAGCCATCCTTTGACGACCTGCAATCTGGTCAAGCTAACCGATGTGCACTTTTAAATTAGACTCCATTGGGCAAACCAAATGACTACTATAACTTGGATTATTGCGTCCTTTCTAGCAGTGCCACCTAGCGGCGTACTTTAAGCGAGGTTGTCTGCACACGGTGAGCGCGCAGAGCTATCAAGGTACACATGCATGCGATTATGCAGTGGTTTTATGTACTCTGCTTTTGTTAAGGTGTACTGGACCCTGAAATGAAGTTAGACTTCTGGAACGGTTCACCATATACTTCTGACCCACAGTTTTGAGGGTACGTCAAGCACGGACTCTACGTACAGTTATCGCTAATTGTCAGCCCATAAAAACCCGGGTTGAAGCATGTCTTCTCTGGTCCTTACACGCAGTGGATATCCAGTGCCAAAAGAAGGACGTTGTTTATAATTATGTTGAAAAATGATCCTATGCTCAACATCTAGGCGCTGAATGGTAATCTAGTTTGCCAGTTTTCTCCACTACAGGCTAAATCCCTACTATCAGCTACTATCAGCACCAGAATATCAACTCAACCTTTCCGAAAGGTTTATAATGACTTGTCTATTTCTATCACCCTGACAGAGAATGGTCTAGAGAAAGGCTTTTTCACTGGTCCCTGCGAAACGCCCAATCGCTTTTTCATCTTCGCGCTCAGTATTTGTCGGACCACTCGCGACAGGTGACAAATTCTGGACAACCAATCAACTTTCGATTCACGCGTAACTCCACACTTCTGTTTTTGTCCCGCCTCATTTCAATGCTGAATAACCGAAGCAAACAAAGTCGGCACCAACCAGTATTTTCTCATACATCCTACCCACGGAAACCTACTGCAAATGATCCTGGTGAGATCAGCCAAAATTTACGGACCTCCGAAACTCTGCTTGTCAATTCGAACAAAAAATCCTTGCTTCAATACGAGCCTTCTTCAGCACTGATCGTAAGGCCACATGGTTCGCGTGAACAGAGGAGTCTACTGTGGCCGCAGTACAGAAGAGCATTAAAGGGCCTTCCTTCCCCAGATTCATCACATGTGCCTAGAAATGAGTACTTGCTTTATCATCTTATTGACTCGTGTGGTTTGGCTGCTGGATCCAATAGGCATGGTCCTTATGTTTGCTCTGAAAAGGACCCAGAATCAGCCACTAAAATACAGATTAAAAATCATCGTGAAGATCAACTGGATAATCTGATCCCACAGTGTAACCCGACCTGTGGATTCCTGTCAAATCCTCAAAGAATGAAGCTTGTGGATGTTCTTGCTCTGTATGAGATCAACACGGAAGTCTTGGCTAAAATATTAGGCCTGACGTCTTCGGAACTTCGAAACTTGAAGTCTGAAGAACAGATGAAGTTGCTGTTTTGCGGAAACAGTCGGCTAAAGCGCCATCTTTTATCGCGCCGGCGGCGTGGCACAATTTAGCCTTTTGTTGATCTACAAACAACTTTCCAGATTTCCCATAACCTATTTTTCACCCGTTTATGCAACTTGTACAAAAGTACAATCATCGACCAATTATGAACAGTCGTTCTTGAATTTTTCTGTACAAATTTCAAATATTTTGGCCCAAAACTAGCCAAAAAACAAACAAATACTGCTTATCTCTGAAGCAGCTGCAGTAATTGTGAATAATCATGCAGTGCAAAGGTGCACAAAAAACTGAACAACCTTATCTACCTCAGTTTCTTGTGATGTTCTTAAAAATATACCTACATATCTCATTCAAAAAGGGTTTTGACAACCAAACGCCAACGACTGGAAAGTCTTCCCTAACCACGCTTCTTCACTGTCACTGGGAACTTTTGACGAATTTTATGCTTGAAGGAACCTGGACGACTTATTGCTCGGAAACTCTTGACCGTGCTACCTGTCAGATGGATTGGACCAGGTTTGACAGATATGCTGATAGGTAATTCTGAGTAAGTTTATCTAAGCCTAGTCATGCGCCCTTCTTCGTGGATGTTTCTGAATCTAGATATGAAACTCAGTATTATTTCAGTGTAGCCGGGCCAGTACTAGTTTCCAACCAACGCTGCCAGTACTACCATTCTGGAAAGCAGTATGTATGCTACTTCCGTCTTAGACACTGTTTTGGTGCCGTCCAGTTAAATTGGCGGAACAACTTGCATTGGTAGAAATAATACAGTATTTAAGACTCCAAAGGTTGATTGTTTCTGTCAGAAAGCATACATTTTGAGGTGCGAAATTCTTTACAAATGGAAAAAACTGTAGAGGTAAGAAGTCTGTGAAATACTGATCTCAAGCGCGTGGAAATAATATTTTGGTCAAGTGCATATGCATACTCAGTCAGTTGGAAAACGCTTTGAACTGATCGGGTAGACATAGCTTTCGGAAAAGGTTGGTAGCACTCGGTAAATTTGTTGCTGGGCAACGTTCCGCTCTTGACACAAGAGCTTCCTCAGGCCAAGCGACTAGGTTACGATGGGCGGGACTTGAGGCAAAATGGGTGAACCACTGCGTATTTGACTTCATATGTCGAAAGCACAGTAGTATTCCTACATCCCTAATCGTGAAGCCTCCGGATACGCATGTTGTTTCTGCAAAAATAGCTTTGTTAGCGGCCAAGTCGTTCCTCAAACAGGGTATCTACTTAACCGCTCAGCGATCAACCGATGTTCGCCCGCACTCCAGTTGGCTCAGCCACAATCTTCAGACCGCTATCTCTTTCGCCGACTACTAGCTGCTCAACACCATAGTCACAGATGTTAAGCTAACGCGGGGCCGGTAATTCAAGGACAGAGGCATACGTAGGTTTGACCAACTACTTTACATGACTCAGGGCTCTAGAAAGATCACAGAAATGACGAAAGCATCCACTAATTACTGTAGGGTAGTTGAGTTGTCAGATAGACCATGGAGTAAAGATGAACGCTGTCTGTTAAAAAAGGGACTAAAGTTTGCTGTGAGCTAAAAAAGTAATAAGGGCGGAGGAAATAATTCCGAGTGTCGAATCGGTGTTTCAAAAGCTCCCCACAGCGGAAGCTGAGAAACTGCGGGTATAATTTCTCACGGTTCTAAAATCGCAACAGTCAAGAGCTTCGAATATTTCACCGTCAGAGCGGAGAGCATTGACCACACTGAGACAGGTAGATATCATTGTCACTACGAAGGCCAATAAAGGTAAAGTCACGGTAGTAACGAACAAGAGCGACCATCTTCAAAAGGTCAGGCAGCACCTCGTATATGGGGCCCATCGACAACTTACTGTTAGCGGTACTATTTCAATAATGAGTAGGAGTAAGACTGAAGTTGCTAGATGTTCAAAATCCATAACAAACCATTTAGGGCAAGGTAAGTGATATTGTTTGTACCCAAAAGTGCGATTCAACCACGACTCTATGGGCTGTTAAAAATCCACAAGGCAGATATTCCGATAAAGCCAATAGCGGATGGTATAGGCTAGCCACCACATGAGCAAGCCAGATTTCTGGCTGGTATACTAAAACCATGCACGGGAAATCAAGCACCTTCAAATTCGTACGGCTTTGCCAATAATCCTGCAGGGCTTTGTTTGGATACGGTCGAAGTTTTTGTGAGTTTAGACGTAATCTCATTGTACACAAAAATCCCTAGGGCAAACACTCTGGAGGAAAATAAGAGGCTGTTAGTGGCAGACAAGACACTTAGGGAATCGACACAGCTCTTGGTGGATGAAGTAGTTGTGGGAATAAGAATGTTTGCATCTCGATCAATTTGTTTTTGACACAACTGCTTACTCACAAGAACAACGTCTTGCAGTGGGATCTCCAATATACCCAGTTTTAGCTAATATTTATACGGAGGACTTCGAACTGATGGCCTTGGCCGGATATCACTTTCCACCGAAAGTCTTCTGGCGTTATGTTGACGATACCTTTACCGTAATAAAACGTGATAACGTGAACAGCTTCTACGACTATCTCAAAAGTTCAAATTTTCACATCGGGTTTAGCATTGAGATAGAGTTCACCTCGGGCACATTACCCTTCCGATACCGTATTACACATAAGGCTGGTAGAAAATTAAAAACTGCTATCTACCAGAAACCAACAAAGTAATCGTACCCGTATTACACATAAGGCTGGTAGAAAATTAAAAACTGCTATCTACCAGAAACCAACAAACGTAATCGTACGTTTGAAATTGTTATCCTTTTCCGGCAAATGCTGTCTTTATAACATGGATGGCTGACATCATGGAGGAATAAACTTGGGTGGGTTTACCAATTGCCAGAACAGGCTAGACCGTACAAGATAAACTATTTTAAGTTCTCAGCTTATAAGTTTTTAAGTTGTTTGAAGCTTTCGGTCTATCAAAAACTTTCCGTCGACAGTAGAACGGGAAATCTGTCTTATTCTGGCCAGAAAACCCTAATTTTGTGATTTGAAAAAAAACGGGCATAGCTATTTTGCATAAAAGATTCCTGCACAGAATTACACAAGGCCAAGTCAGGATATTGTATCTCCTACAAATATTTTGGATTTGGCTCTCCAATACCTTAATGCGAATGCGAAATACATTGTCCCCTCAGTTCTGGGCACCTTATCTTCTGATTGGCTTAGTCAGCATGAAAGAGTGAAATGCGTCCCACATGTTGGGAACTTCCTTTGAATTATTGTACAACCGACGGGTTGGTCGCTACTACTCATCCGAAATGTGAACGTTTCTTCACCATCTTGGAAATCTTTCACATTTAGACAAAACGGTCATTTATGAGCCTCATACATTACTGCCTTAAGAGCATCTTGTAAAGTTTACTGCATTTTGACCAATAATATCACCGGTTTCCGATTTCACTTCGAAAGTACATAAATATGCAACAGCGTTATCATATAAACACGTATAAAACAAGCTGTAGTTGGACTGAGAGTGTACTCAATTTGAATATCTTACATCCAGTAGAGGCAGAGATCTAAACAAAAATAAGTAATTACTGGATAACCGGCACAGTTTAAAACTCAGCATTTCTATGATGCCACCATCAAGTCCATTCGGCGGCTTTTCACAACTAATGAGAAAGTCACCATGACTAGCACTTCGTCAGGATATTGGTGACTATGGGTCACTCAGGAAGGTGTCATTGATTTTCTGCTCACATGTCATCAAAGCCAATGCACTATGTGGAGAAAATTTGTGTAATGTAGTTTGTAGGGTTGTTTATACTGAGTAGCGCTTGATTGAAACGCTGCATCTCCGAGCTACTAGACTAATGCATCCCTAAATGGTCATGGTAAGCAGTGATGTTAACGGTAAAGGGTATGTAGTGGTTCTAGCCCATAATTTGTGACACTAGTAGAAACAAGTATAAATAAGGACAGTCCTAAGCAGTGGCATGTAAAGGTTTTGCTCATGTTGCATTCATTATACACGCGTGCCTGAAAGAAGCCTATCCTTTCGGCGTTACTGGAGCGATAGCAAAATGGCTCGAAGTAGGTGCCGATAGCGTATGGTTAAATTGTGGAATCATCGTTGTAATGTCTATATCAGGTGTGATCAAAGGTACGTACATGTAGACCATTCTGCTTCGACTAAATCAGATAAGATATGATCGATTTAGCATATAAGACCATCAAGGAACTGTATATTGAAACTCGTGTCGTTACCTTACCAGTGAAACTTTCGGAAGGTATGATAATGATAATCCAGTTGAGATATGTACACTGTAGTGATAATGAAGACTAATATCTACGGATACTAAAGGACTAACAATGAACCGACATGTTAACTAGAGGAATAAATCATAAAGAATTTCTAACAACAATTTCAAGCTTTTGTGTTTCGTATTGTTGCGGGATTCAAGTTCATAGGACAGCCAAATATGCTGAAGCTGGTCAGTAGCTCTAAAGCACAGAGTGGTACACATTGATGAAAATATGCTTGCTTCTGCACGGCAAACTTTGCCGATTACCAAATTTTGGAAAGCGCTCAACGGTTCTGACAATACTTAACAAAATATACTGCACTTTTTGTTACTTCAGATAAGACATCAGATGGAATATGGTGAGGGTTAAAAACAAAGAAACTAGCCCTGAGGATAACGACTGCGCCAACACTAAATACTGATTATTACTTCACCAGTGATAATCCGAAATATCACCTCCAGTGAAATCGTTCTCTAATGATGATGGCTTATTTGCTCTGTGGTAAACGTTCGCCGGGGGCAATATAAAGGGGGCATTCCGAGGTTTAAGTATTTCTCCTTGTTGAATAACAATATGATATAAGATAAGGAAACGCATACACTTTATGTTATCAGATGTACCGAAATGATAAGCCGTAAAATAGGGGTACAAGCACGTATGACAACCAATTCGGCTTCAATATGTCGTCATTGTTACACAGATTACGCCGACAACAGTAAGCACTCCGGTGATTGTGGCAAATGGAGATGTTTCGACGGTTGCACATCCGATGAAAATATT